AAATTCTGTATAATATTTCATCCATTTAACGATGATGGAAAAACGTTCGATTGAATTTTTTTCGCTCCCCCAAGGGAACAAAAGGTGATAATTGAAAGTGATGATAGTCCTCCATTCCTTCTTTGGAAATTTTATTTCTGCCTATCAAATGAAAAATGATCCTCAAAGGCAAATGATCGGCGTTGATAATTTTTATTTAAATTGTACGTTACGTTATTATTAACGTGAATATTTCAACGATATCACGATTATTACAACACATTATCGCATTTAATACGCGTGAAATTACATTTACCATTTGTCAACGTGTTTTCCCTAATAATGAACAACGTTAGAGAAGAATAAAATAGGATTTCGAAACTGTAATATCTGCTCGGGAAAATCACGTTTATTTGCTTGTTGTCTAATTACGTAGGGCCTAATCTCTCAATTATGTATCATGGGAAAAATAAGATGTGACATAGAGTGAAAAAATAGCAACGAAGAATGGGAATAATATATGATTCTATTTCTTCTGTTTCAATTGTAATAATAACATTTTTCCCACAAATTATATCTTAGATTTGATATTCGAGGAATGTAAAATGCTATACATATATATATATTATGCAACTGAAAATGAAAATTACAAATGAAAATTTTACAATTCAATCTACTATTTTTCTTATTTGTTTTCGAAACACATTAATATAAAAAGACTTTTAAATAAGATGAAACTTTGAAATAACTGGTTTGTAATTATTACGAGCGGATGCATCACGTAATATTCGCGTTTTAAAAAAAATAAGAAGTTATTTTTTTTCGATTATTTTGTTTTAAAATTTTTTTTTAATAAACTTAATAACAATTGATCGATGAAATGATCAAATAAACGTGCATTGATACATTAATTTTTTAAAGTTTATCAATTATATAAATAGTTAAATTTAGAGCAAAATACAGGAAGTTCGCCTAGAAAAGTACGTTAATAGAAGCAATGATTAAGCAAACTATTTTTTCACGACATGGAAAAGGAAAATATCAGAAGGAAAAATCAGTCTAATTCGAGAATCACATTTAATAATCGTATCATTGACGAGTATTACTATGTATGCAGAATCGTGTAGGATTTCCCAGATCATAAAGTTATATTTATCGCTATCATTTCTCCATTGTTTAATAAAAATTTCTACGAAATCAGATAATTTAACGATGCAGAAAACAGATAACAGAAAATAATAAACAAATATTACAAAATCGAATAGAAATCAAATTAATGATATGATTTGAAATTACTAAAAACAATTTTAAAAATAAGTCGTCGTGTTCTTAATTTTCTCACAAATTCTAAAAAATCTTAAGCATATAAGTATATAATATGAATAAACAAACAAATTATTAATTATTTGATCTCAATGAGATCTTATAGCTCAAAAAAACACTTATATACAAAAATAAAAAAAATCTGCAAATCATCACTTTGACGAGATTAAATTATTCAAATTTCGAAATACAAATAAAAATTCAATTCGAGATAATGTATAATAATTATAATCGAAATAATAATAATAACTGAGTAGAATTTTCAAAAAAACAAAAAAAAAGAAAGAAAAAATAAACTTCTCAAAAAAGGAACTTTCATCGAATAATTCATAGACAAGATGGATATATATTTAAGCAAAAATTCGCGTGATTATTAAAATTATTCAGAATTAAATGTACGGGGAAAAAATATAAGTGCCCCTACTACTCCTAGTGATCGACTACAGTGCTTCCATTAGGAGAAAACTTTGTGTGCCGGGAGCTCAGTTCCACTGTTTCGCGCGTGCTATTCACACGAATAACGATTATAAACAATAAAAAAAAAAAAAAAAAGAATCGATAAGAGTGAAATGAAATAATTTATTCCTTTGACACTATCATGAATTTCTACTTTCTATTTCTTTCAAACGAATTCATTAAAAGAAAGCAGAGAAGAATATTATGATGTATTAGCAAACCTATATATTTTTCGAAAATAAAAATATTCTCTATGAATATGTTAACTTCGTTCGTGAAACTGAGACGTCGTCGTAGAAGATCGTCGAAGCGAGTTTCTTCCAAATCAATTGAAATTAAAGAAAAGATTTCAGAAAAATATGGGGGGAGAAGTGATACACAACGAAACGAAGAAGAATACCTGAGGAACAAGAATATGTCGATAATGACAGATGACGAGCCCGATTTTTACGTGTCAAAACCTTTCGTTGGAACGAGACCAAGCGACAGGACGAGAAAGAATTTGAACGAATACGTGATTATGAATGCTGAAGAGATACTTGTGAAGAGCAATGATACTTCGGAAAAAATTATGGACGATTATGTGATCGTGGGTACTGAGGAAATGCCTGTGACACTGATCGAGAAGAACGCGAGTGATAACAGTGATTCAGAAAGTGTGAAGAGTACGGAACAATCGTTGAAGAATTGCAGTCTGATGTGTAATCACACTTGGTACCCGCAATTCAAACGATACGTTTTAAAAAATCTGCGTAACAAGATTTATCCTTCCGTGGTAACGGGGTGAGTAACGAAACGAATAAGATTCGTTTTTCTTATGTGAATGTGAAATCGATGACTTAATTGAGAAGCATTTTTAATTGATAGATTTAATTGAGAAGCACTTACAATAAGCTTGATTGAATTGATGAAGTTTTAAGTTTAAACTTCCAAATTTTTTTTTAATGTTTCAATCTTTCCTTTTGTTTTCTTTGCCTTTAGAATAATTGATAGATTTAATTGAGAAGCACTTACAATTAACTTGATTGAATTGGTGAAGCTTTAAACTTAAATTTCAAAATATTTTTTTTAATGTTTCAATCTTTCTTTTTGTTTTCTTTGCCTTTATAATAATTGATAGATTGAGACAGAATTGAATTGAGAAGCACTTACAATTAACTTAATTGAATTGGTGAAGCTTTAAACTTAAACTTCAAAATTTTTTTTTTTTAATGTTTCAATCTTTCTTTTTGTTTTCTTTGCCTTTAATAATAATTGATAGATTTAATTGATAGATTTAATTGAAAAGCACTTACAATTAGCACTTCAATTGATTGAATTGATAAAATTTTAAATTTAAACTTCCAAATTTTTTTTTTAATGTTTCAATCTTTCCTTTTGTTTTCTTTGCTTGTATAATAATTATAAATACATCTTTGTAAATTAATACATAGACTATAATAATACTTGAAATTTCCACGTGGAATTCTATGAATGAACCATGACAACTTGGATCGATAAACTGTCTGATCTGTTATATCAGAGCATTAGTTGTTAATGAATGAGAATCAACATGCTGTAATGCTTTCTCCTTTCCGAATGCATTTGGATAAACTCGATAAACTGATTGCCGATATTTTATTTTCTTAGACTAACCTTTCTTCTCATTTCTATCTATTTTATTTTAGCTTATTCACAGCTTCCTATATAAAAGATAGCAAATACACTGAATTCTTCAATTTATTGACAGAGGAAAAAATATTAAATATTTCTGATAACTTTATTTAAATAATACAACTATCGTAGAATTATGGTACTAATATTACTATTTTGGGTTTTTGCAATCTCAATTTCTAAAAATTTCAATTCCCCCTTACCTTTAATTTTCTATTGGAAAACACTTATGGATTTACGTATAACAAAACAATTCATTTTAATTATCAAAATTTCGAATTCGAGATGCATGATTTGTATGCATCCGACGATCGAATCTCGACTTAACAATAATATTCGAGTAGGTATACAGTCGTCGAATCGTATCCTTATCGTTTTTATCCAACGAACAGAGAGGCACGGAAGAAATGGACGGATGTGGCCGACGATAATTCACTTCTCACGGTTAGAAGACACGTTGCACGTGGCAAGGGAGTTTAAAGACCCGGTGGAAAAGCCGGCAGTTTATGCAGGGAAACAAGCGTGGGTGAGTCATTCGAGTAAATGATGGCAAGGTGTAACGCTTGCCTGCTCACCCGCGCACGAAACGATAGCCGAAACGATTGTTCTATAGATTGTGCGCGGGGAATATTTAATTTTGCCTTTTGTTTTGAATGGATTTCGGGCACACCTGTAGCGAAGATTAAAAGCGAAGATGTAAATAAACTGAGTTCATATCCATCTTATTGTTGAAGAAAAAATCAATGAAAATATAGATAAGAGATTCGAAAGGAAACTACTGTTAGTTGTTATTATTTTTTGTCGTAGAATATTGTATTAGGATTAGAAAATAATATGAATCTGTAAATCTAATTTTCGTATAAAATGAACAAACTAAGGAACATTCATGCAATAAGCTATAAATACGTAGAAAAGAAAGTGAAGATGAAATTATATTAGTAAATTTATCCTGAATTTTTATACGATATTTATATTAATAAACTGTCATTAGCTATATATCGAGAAAAAAACTCGCTGGGAAGAATCTTACCAATTAATTTTTCAAAAATATATATTTAAAAGAAGAAAATTAGTATTCGTTTCTCCAAATCTCGGACTATTCATCGCATATCTTCTAACTTGTCCAGAAATAACCATACTTACTCATGCGTGCCGATAATACGAAATACAATAGCGCACAATAGTTTCTAATTACGTATTACCCAAGGGCCCTGTTCGAACTTCATTCAGCCCTAAGTACACGGTACGTGCGCCGAGTGGTTGTGTGTGCGCGACAGGATCTTGCGCAGAACGTGCGTAATGGACTTCCTGCGTGAATCGAACCTGAACAGACCAAGCCTCCACAGTATTCTGACATTGGACACGGGTTTTTCACTTTCCTGGAAATGGGCTCCTCTCTCACGAGAAACAATCGACTTTTTTTTTTCGTCGAATCAATTTCGCATCATGCTTTATTATCCATTTTTCTTATTGTTATTTCGTTATATAAAATAATAAATGATTATCGATTTTCCAAGTTCGAATTTCTTTTCGGCAAGAAAAATTTAATAAAATCTCGATCTGTTTTACTCGATACTGTTGATACTCGATTACAGATTCGTGATTTGCTTAATCCATCGTCTGTAGTAAGAGACTTTTGTGTACACTCCTGACACTATGGCGCAATTTTGACCGAAAGAGACGATACCGTAAAGGGTGTTTTTACTTGCCAACGGACCTCCGGAATCCCCGTAACAAGAATCCTTTCCACTCGCTCCGTAACAAAGATGGTAATCCTTCTTAACGAGCATTCTATATTCTGGAGTTTCCTCTATGCATGCCTCGTATGGTGTGTGGCGAATGCAGATTCCCATCAAAACATCGCTAATTTTCGCCTGAGTGAAAAAGAAAGTTTTGAAAGATTAATAATTTATCTAAAAATTCAAATAAGAGTGTAATAAAAATATTCATATATTTCAAAAAAGAAATTCGCGATATTTGAAAATTCGATCGTCTTTTCTGAAAATTTCAAATTGAAAAAGAAGTTTGAAATTCGTAATTGCGAGTTTGAAGAGCAAGTATCAATTAATAAATCTAAACTCGTGTACATAGCGTGACGATTGGGGAACAAGACAGACACTCACGTTACTTTGGACACTGGTATAACCCCAACCGCAAACACACAGTTGCTGAGGTGGTTTGCTGAATTCGGTGGGCAATCGAACAGCTCGAACAGTGCTCGAGAATCGAAAGCGAGGTCGTACCTCGAACAACGCTATATCGTGATACAGTATACTCGAGAACCAATATTGGAACATGGTATTGTTATACATGTATATCTTTGTTAATTTATGCAACGATCCCCCTTGGTAAAGCTTGTTCGAGCCAGCTCTCACGAAATAATTTGTTTCTCTATCTGGAAGTCTAAATAGCCACTCGATTGTTTAATACAAATTAAACGAAATTTTGTGAAAAAAATAATTCATATTCTTATTGAGAATATTAATCGAGAGAGTATTAAGATTTTTCTGCAAGTTTTGTTAAAAATTAATACGTACTTTTCTTTTTCAAATCATCGTTATTCGTTGTTTATTAAATACTTACAGACAATGAAGAGCAGTGATACCCCAATTTTTGGACAAAATACTAGCTCCGCATATAAATCCATCAGAATTGTGCAAAGAAAGCTGCAATTGTCTTTATCTTTAAAATCATTCAAACGATTTATTTGAAAAACGATTGATAGATTCCACTAACCATGAATGGTCGTTGTTTCATACTAATAGGATGTCCACCAATGATTTTTATTGTCGCTTTGCAAGAAACATTTTTACATACATCTATTGTAATAAAAATATCTGAAAATATGAACAAAAATTGTTAATTAAATCCAGGAAAATATTACTTACAGGAATGAAAAAAAAAAATGAAAAACGACTTACATGTTAGGTAAAAAATAATAGATTTTGCACGCATTTTTACTGACAGCTTGAACGAGTGTGTTTAACAAATCTGTACGACATTCTGTATAACAGAATGCTTTGTATCTTCAGAAGCTATAAATGTCACGTGGCAATGAATTTTGCAAAGATAATCGTTGAAAATTATTTATTATTATTTTCAAGAACAAAGATTTGATAAATTAGAAGATTCTAGAAAATAGTTACAAGAATATATTGATTTATGTGCGATGATATTTTACTAAAAATATTGGTTATTGATCAAAATATTATTATATCTTTTAAAAGTAAAATAAACTCGTTTTTCCAACGAGAAAAATAATATAAAAGATTAAAAATATAATAGGTGATAAGATGAAAATTTTTTATTTCCTCCTTTTTTTAATTGAAAATCTATTTATTCTTTTTATATTATATGATAAATAATTAATAAGGATAAATATAAATTCGTCGTGTTGGAGATCGGGAAGAGGCATTTATTTCGCAAGATACATATTTCAATACAGTAATATCATAACTAATTTATTTTTTGAACCCATACTAATACCATAATATTCAAGATTAAAATTAAATTCTCAAACAATTTCAAAATTTATTGTCGAATCAATCATTTTCATCCGAAAAAGATAAAGAGGAATTTTCATCATATGCGAAAAGAAAATGATCACGCGATGGAAAATCGATAATTTGATCGTATTGAGAGAGAAACATGGATCTACGTTCACGATTCCATCCGTTGTAGATTTCTAAGGAAGAATATTCATTCGGGATTTGTCGAAGAGCGTACAACGAAGAAGCGAAGCTTATAGTTTCGATGAATATCACGATCAGTAGAAGATTATTGGCCATAGAAACCAGCATACTGTCGTTGTCCACGTTTCGATATCTGCTTAAATGATTCATCGATTCCACCAGGCTATTCATAGAGTTGTCCGCATCTTTTATCATTTCTGCAAAATTGAAGTTTGTGTCACGTCATAAAATTGAAATATCATTTCTCTTATCAATTTTTTATTAATGTAAAATAAGAATCTTCTTCTTTTATGTAGAATAATTAAAAAAAATATTCATAATTTTTGAATAAAAATCTATATTCTCATAGTTGAGAATTGTATCCATAAAGATTTTCTAAAAAAAAGTTTCTTCGTTTCAACAATATTAATTTCGACGAAATATTTAATACAATTAAATATAAATAATTTTGATCGATTAGGGATCGAAAATTAGGAAGTAACCTGTTCTAGAACGTGTTGCAAACTCTTGCATATTTTCAGAATCCTCTTCGCTATTCCACTCGATTTGCGACGTGCTCTTGTCCACCGAGTTCGGTTCGTGTCCATTGAAGTTCTCACCGCTGTAAAGCTCCAGTAGTTTGGTCATCCAGTCCATCAGATGTGTTAAAACATTCACATGGCTCTGCCAAGTTTCCTTCAAAGTCTCTTTCATCCCTTGGGCGAAGAATTTTTCGAAATCAATGGCGGATCGATGAAATTTGTTGATCGTTCTGAACGTTCTGAGAAGCGCCCCCTTTTTGTACAACTTTAAAGCTCTCGAGATCTCCCTGTGCCTGATTAACAATTCATTTCAAAATTTATGCAATTTATATTAAATTTCTTTATTATATTGTTCGAGTACTTTTGAAAATTAAAACTTAACAAACACAAGTTGCAATCTTGAAATGATTCTCAAAATTAACTCTAATAATCCTTTCCTTAAAAGAATCCTTTTAATTATAAAATTTCTAAATTTTATAATTAAAAAAAAAAACCTCTTAATCGATTTTTTATTAACCGTTTTAAAAATCAAATAACCAAAATTCGAATTGAATTTAAAATCATACTAACTTTATCGCAGCTTCATCATCCTTGCCCACAAATTTCGAAAGTTTCCTCAACTTCTCTTTACCATCCTCGAAAATATTGATACATTGTAACAATTCGTCGACGAATCTTTGCCCCCAAATGCTCTTCGACAAAACATCCCCAAGATCGTTGACAGCGCGATGGAAAGGGGTCCCTTTGGATATCCTCTTGTCCAAGATCCTCTCGAACACGTAGCTCACCTTCCTTTTGATCTTCTTTGGCGTTCTTCGAACAATTTTGCAGGAAATCTCCTCCTCCTCTCCGTTCTCATCCTCCACGACCGTGCAATTGCTCAAACGTTGAATAGCCATCGTCCACGATTTCGCGTCTACGTTGTACGCCTCGCTCGTCGATCGCAATCTCGCGTTGTTCCGACACTCGTCGAAACGTCGAAATTCATCAACGCAATCGTCGTAATTAATTCTATCGTTGTTCGTAATCACGAGGCAAAGTAAAACGTGCCACGGTTTTTGTTGGCCGCGATACCTGAGAATATCGTTCCTCAGCAAAGTGTCGTTTACTTTTGACTTTATATTTTGAAAGGCCTGTCTTGGCGCATTGTTCATCATATTTAAAGCCGTTCGAATCACGTTCGAAGACCATTTCTGGTTTCTCTTCGTGTTCATTTCTGAAAAGCATTGAGCCAGTTTGGCGATGAATTCCAGCACGTCGTCCACCGAGCCAAGGAATTTGAAACCGTCCGAAGTTGTTTTATTTGTCAGATGCTACGATATTGATAAACATTTTTTTTTGTCAATTCAAAATCTATAAATCTTTGAATTTTCTAAAGGATATTGCATAGTATAAGAGAAATGAGAAATAAAAAATGTATAAAATTAAAATTAAAAATTCTATCTCGTTAATTCAACAATTAGAACTAAAAATATTTTTATAATTTTACTAATGATTCGATTTGAATTAAGAAATTTTTTTATCTACGAATCTGTCCATCATGTTTAATTATAAAAATTTTTTAAAATTCTACAGACCTCGTTTCCTCCCGAACTCGAGTTTCCATTTCTATTAAATATATCGGTCAATGATGTAATTTCATTAATCATATTTCCCAAGTCTAACATCGTATACACGCTTTGCAGCAACACCTCGGAATACCAATCATCGGACAATGGATCATCTCTCGATTTATTTTCGTACAATTGAACGTTATCGATCAATCCAAAATCGTTAACGAATTCAATTACGCTCTTCCTTATATTCTTGCATATTTCCCGGATCGTTGACAACACATCGGCTTCTTTCGACGATCTTAATATAATTGGTTTACTTATAGGCTTCCCTATTTTCGAGAAAAAATCTCGAATTCCCGTTTCCAAACGATGCACTTGTCTAGGATTGACCAACACGAATTGAAAATCGTCGCGTACAATGGGATTTTTTCGATCGACGTGTTCAGAGATAGTGAAATGTATAAGGAAATCTATCGTAAATACAAATATTATTACACAAACAAATATTATTGAGAAGATTCGTATCGCGTTCATTTTTAAAGATACTTACTTGAGAATAGAAGAAATGAAACTAGTTTGGGAATCATCATGTTTGGAAATAATGTAAATACCTGTTTCTAAAACTTTGATTCTTTTTTTCTCTGTTTTATACTCTGATGTGTACGTGTAATTTTCTCAAGACATTGTTGCGTTTGTTTCTGATAACTGGATGTGAAATATTGTTTAGCCACGTCCAAGTATGTATAGAGTATATCACTAGATTCGATCGAACGTGTGTCACACGACTTCCCATAAATGTCGTCCTCATGATATCCTGAACGAAATATTGCAAAATGAACAAAATGGTATAAAGATAAATAACAGGAAACGAGATTTCCATTTGTTAAAAATAGGATCGAGGATACGTTGAGGAAAAATTCAATGTCTATTTTTAAACTTCCTTTTGTTTTCTCTCTTACTGTTCAACACGTTCGTTATATTTTTTTATATTCTTATATCTCGAATGGAATAATTTATACTAATAACAAAACAAACTACATAAATATTTTAAAAGAAATACATATTTATATTCAACATCGAAGATTAGATTAAAAATACTAGAAGAAATATACGAAAGATGTGTCCATCAAAAATCAAAATCAAAAATTGAAAAGATCATCGACTTTCTCCGAAGTAGACACGCCATAATGCCAATGACACTCGACGAATTTATTAAAATCATCTCAGTCGCTCGAATTATTCCTTGGCAAAATACCTAACATGATGTCAACTAACGTGATGTCATCGCAATGACAATTCTCATCCCTAAACATTGATTCATCCGTGCTATTCAAGAATCACGAGGTCATCACGAAGCGTGAATGCCAGTTCGAATATTAAAATTACCAAATCCTCAGTTCCAAACGAAACAACAGTTCGAGCGAATCCATTTCGATTCTCCACGACGATCATCATAAATAATCAGTGTCATAAATTATAACTCGCACCATCCATGGTGGAACAAACTCTTTCAAAGAGAAGGTTATGGATGCTTGGTCTGGTAGCATGCGCCATCTGTCGGCTGGAACGGAAATACCGGTGAATGGAGGATGTCGAAACGTGTTACTCGCAACACAGTATTGACTGTTTCGAGCTGACCAACCGGCGTTAACTCGGTTTACCAAAATTTCTTGCTATACTGGTCGAGCATTGCATAGTTTCAACAATGAACGGTTCGTAGATCGCGTTGGAAGTGACGAGAGAAAACGAGAGAAAGTTTTATTCGATCCGTAAACGGCGAATGAGGATGTTGTGAATTTCACCCAATTGATCGTGAGAGGAAACACACCTTGAAGGATGGATGAGGAGGCGATGTGGAAAGATTTCTATCATAAAATTGTGGTGGAGAAGGAGGAAAAACAGAAGGAGCAGCAAGAAAACACGGAACATGAGATAAGGTAGAGAGAGAGAGAGAGAGAGGCATCTTTCGAAACGTGGAAACTCGATTGGAAACTCTAATTTTTTTCGTTGTCGTGTGTGCGAAGATTTAACACGTTGTTCGACACGTTACTAACCGATTTAACATCAGTTATGTGTAATTACATAATTGTATACGTATAATTAAGTGTGGACAATTGTACACAAACATTTACATTTATAAACGTATCTATATAACAATAGAGTAAAATTAATTTAATTCTTCGTGCAATGAATTCTTATTTATTAACCTTTTATTATTTATTTTTCTCGTTGAAAATACAGAATTTAATAATTCTTTTATAATTTTTTAAAAAAGAGTTTCTTCGACGTAACAGTTTTTAACAAAGAAATTTCAAAGAAGAATTTTAGAATACATCTCGTATTCGAATGCAAATAAACCTTGAAACGAAGTTTGTATTAAACGAATCTCATGACTCACGACGATTACCAATGCTAAATGTAAGAGATGCAAAAATGTAGCAGATGTCACAAACGATAAAATTTTTATTCTTCGTCATTATTTGTTCCACGAATGGATTCTTATCATTTCTTAGAAAATTTGTATATAAATATTATTATCAACATTTCTAACGTTGGAGAATCACGTGCTCGCCCGTGTCGCCTTGATTCTTGTCGCCAAACAAACACTGGTTGTATAGATTGTAGGAATGACGGGCTGAAACCGCTTCAACTGACTGCATGCACGCAAGCTATTAATAAAACCAGACTAACGATTGAGTCCCAGAACATCTGTGGAGGAATTAACTCTCCTCCAGGTCGCGCGAATACGTAACATGCCATCGAGATCCGTGGCTCAAGGTCGATATTTTGAGATTTATTGCAAATGTAGTTTAAGATAATTGCAATAACAGTGTGTTTAAAATACAATGGTTTGAAGGCAGGGTATAGAAATGTAATGTATCAAAGTTATACTGGAGGTTTGAAAAAATAAACTTGTTGAATTGTAGGGATTGGAAAATTTTATGGAAAATTTTGGAAATGTCGTATACACACAAATATGATTATTATCAAAGTTTGACTTTAAGATATTTTGATCTTGATCGATAAAAGTGAATTGCTTACGTTAATTTTAATTTTGGAGTTAATATTAATTGTGTAAATTGTTTAACTCTCGTAGAATATTAGGTTCGTTTAAAAATTTTTAATTGCAAATTAGAAAATGTTTTTTTGTATTGATATTTATTTGATATTTCTTGTATCAATTATTTTTAACTACAAATAATATTCGAATAATAATAATTTGCAGAGGTTCCGTCATCGACCACGCAGCAATCGACACTTATAAAAGAATTAATTAGTACGCGTACATGTTCCTCGCTGCTCCTCCTCCGTTTAAGGAGGTCGCGTAGAATGCAATAATCTCGTTAGTTTACATATCAACTGTTCTTCTTACAACGTTTGTATGCACGCGATGAATCCTTTTTTGCATTTCCCTTTTGTCCAAATTATTTTTCTTCACGTAACATCAACTATCAACTGTTATGGCTGATGTATTTATAGATGCCGCCTCATAGAAACAAAGATACTTTCTTATATTTTTATCATTCACATGATAAATTCTATAGCGATTCATCAACTGTGTTAATTGATATATTGGAAAAATACATACGTGATTACGTTAAAAAAAAAATAATAATAAATTTCATCCTGAACAAAATACGGTTCATAAAGTAATTGCATTTATATGTTTAAAGAATTACCTGTATAAATCTTACGTAAAAATTGTAAACAACGTGTTAAGCAAAATACGATTAATCTAATTTCGTGTAACAATGAAAAATGAATTTTGATTTTCCAAATTACGGGGGGAAGAAATAATAATTATGTTCTACGAGGCAATTAATCACGATTACACTAATAATCTAAGAATCAACAGTAGAATTCACGATATATTTTTCCATGGGTCGGCGATATCTCAACGTCGATGAGGACATCATCACACGAGGACGGGAATTCCTCGTTTGCGTATAAAAAAAAAAAAACCAGTTAAGAATTAAATCATCATCGCGTAGGTGAACGTCCAACGAGATTGAAGATCAACATTTGAAATTATGCTTATAAATAAATAAAGAATAATTGCAGAATCATCGAAAAACATTTTTATTTTTGCAGATTAATTTATTTTGCAGATAAATTTTTAATCTACATGTTTAACATGTATTCTTGTGAATCGTTCTAAAATCATTCAAAAATCTACGAGAGATTGATAACAGATCATCATTTCATCATTCGAATTTTATAAATAATTATTTTTAAGAATATTTTGTCTTTTTTTGACAGAGTATAATGTTCGTATATTTAACGTAAATTATAAGGCGTGAAATTACGCGAAATGAAATAAATGATTGTGAGTTGAAGCAAGATTAATTGAATCGATTCGAATTTTGAAACGATGAAGAGATTGGCGAAGGTCGTTTGTGGCTTGTATCGTTCGTGTTTCTTGTTTCTTGTTTCTTGTTTCTTGTTTCTTGTTTCGCAAGACAAGCTTTGTGTTATATTTCAATGTATATATGTTTATTTATTTATATTAAATTTAACTTTGTAACTTTCTTAACTTTTATTTAAAATTTGATCTTCAAATTTCCTTTTCATCCTTTTCAAATTAAAAATATTCCGATGATATTATTTACTCTCTCTTGATATTATTTAATTTTTGCTATCTATAACCAATCTATAATTGTGGTAATATTCCTGAACGTTAATTTACTTGTAATACAGTGTATCGAATTAATAGTTTTTTTCCGGACTTGATATATTGAAAATAAAAAACAGCAATTTTCTATGATATAATGCGGAATCTTTTAGATGATGTCGAATTATAATAAAAATCTAAGAATTATTATTTTCTCCTGTCAATATTTAAAAATATTTTATTACACATCGATTTTTTTTTACCATATATTCGTATAATGGAAAATTTTTACAAAAATTTATGTAACAAAAAATAAACATTTTTATAAATATATATATATATATATAAGTTACATAAACAAATTCTAGATGATTTTCTCTCTCTTTTTTTAGTAGAAAAAATTTTTTTAACGATCCAGGATATTTTTCGACTAAAAAGTTTATTAAATTAAAATTATTATTGGATAAAAAAAATATCACCGTGCTTATTACGGAAATAAATAATTCACAAGTTATAAATAATCGATCCTCAATACTCACTCGTGTTAATCGACGATTGTACAATTAGAGAAATAAGAGCAAGAAGAATGGAAGAAGAACATGTTTCGAGAGCCGATCTTTGGTTGGACGAAGAATGTGAATCGGTGAATCACATCTTTGGAGTTAAAAATAAATGGGTATAGAAGGAAATAAAAAATATTGAAAATTACGCAAGAGCATGTATGTTTTTTATATATCTACACGAAAGCTGGAAATAAATGAAAAATGGCGTGATGTTTTATATTGTCTTCTAATTTAAAAAATTTTATTTCTCTTAAGTTTAAATTTTCTTGATCGTCTTTCAATTCAAAGAATATATTTTAACTCGTAAGATGAAAAATATTTTTTATATTTTTCTTTACAATGAAGAAAAAGAGATATATATATATATATATGTTATTACATTTAATGATTAATCATTGAAAACTGGAACAAAGGAATATCTTAGAATTAAAAATAAAATGCTCGAGAATCTAAAGATTTTTCCGTATATTCACTATACTTGTTCTTGTTCAGAAATAAATTTAAGTAAATCGTCATTTATATAAAAATTTTCTATATATTACAAATTGCACAAAAACATAAAGTTTATAAATACAAAGCAATAATCGAATAAGGAAATATTGAATAATTTAATTAATAAAACGAAGAATTGAGAGAAGAAGAAACAATCGTGTTCAATTTAAAGAATGAAATTATCATTAATGATGTAATATACAAGAATTTTCATTACTAGAAACCGTTGTATCGTAACGAAATAGAGAGCAACGACAATAATTAAGATAATTAAAACTTACATTGTTTTATTTTCCGCTCATTAACTATATCGTCAAATAATTTATCATATAATTATTAATTATATTCACAGATAGATACTACACAACCAAAATAAAAATAAAATAAACTGTACTATAATATAAACTCTAATCATTTTTAATTTCATCGATAATTCAATGATAACATTCAATATGTAAAATAAAATTTTACATCGAAAGAAAAAAATAAATTAAATAAATCTTATCGTTATCGAAAACGCAATAAAAATAATTTTATCGCAAATTCATTGGTAAACATATTTATCAAATTATGGATACTTTGTGTTAATCTTCAACTTACAATCAGAATATCTATGAATAATATAATATAAATCTTGATATCCGAATTATATACATATGTATATAATAAATTGTGGGAAAATTTCATTAAGCGTTCGAGGTCTACCTTACATATATCCTGTTACCACTTACTTCCTTTTCCTCTAGATCTTTTGTGAGTCCTTCAGCAGTTCGGTGTCAGACATGCTTCGACTGACATCGTCGTCTGTCTCTTGCATATAGTAGATTGTGTCGATTATTGACAGACACGAAAGTGAAGTGAATTTGTCTACATTGTCGTGAAAATCTTTCAATCGTTAAATATGGTGATTGTTGATAAAATAATATCATGGTGGTGACTATATTGGGATTATAGAATTGTTAAAATAATTATTTATTTAATATTTGCCAGCAAAATTGTAGAATTTTCCTGCAATTTGAATTTCGGTTTTCTTCTTTTGTATACATTTGAAAAAACAATTCAATTTTTTTCTATCTCTTAAACGAAAAGATTTAGATTAAATTTTTAGTGTTTAAATTATCTTAAATTCTTTTAATTTAGAAACAAATAAAAAGTTTCTCTAAAATGAATAATTGTTGTAAGAAATAAAGAAGAAAAGGTAAATGTTCAATTTACAAGAAATAAAAACGAAACTAAAATTGCACACACGGAATGATTAAGTTGTTTTGGCTAATTATTTATCTCTCAATTATTATTCTTTGATAATTTCTCAACCCAATAATTTATACAAAAAAAAGCATATCAATTATAATTATCAAACGAACAAATCTTGTTAATCGCAATTAGTGTTTCGTGCAATCGTGTTTTCGTCCTTCTCTATGTTTCGTGAAACGACGTATGAAACGAAGAATCTCTGTTTTTTATTCCAAAGGAAGGAGAGCCGAGAAATGGCACACTTCGAAAAGCTGGACGAGCAGCATCCTTATTATGCGATCGCCGCTGCCCGAATGTGGCAAAAACCGGAAACGAAACCGGTGACGACAGCGAGATTTTATTGGAAATTTGCTGCTTTCAACTTTATTTCTGAAAGGTGAATCCGCGTTCCTCGTTGCTTAAATCTCATCAAAATCTGGTGCACCACGCGACAGAGCTGGGCGCTTTCTATTTCTAATCCCTAAACTACTTTGGACGATACACTTTTGAACTATCAAACCTAGTTTTACTACAGCTAGAACTTTAGGCTAAGTAATTCGAAACAATTCCGTCAATTATTTTCGTCACTTCAATTTTCTCTTTTCTATCATTTCGAAATTGAATAATTTTTTAAATTCAAATCATCGTTATCAAACTTATCAAAGTTAAACTTAAGGGAATAGATTCGATGCTTAGCTCTAAAGCATGGCTCTACCAATATATACCTAATTATTGCGATAGAATTTCGCTAGTAATTGCTTTCTCATTCACCCGATGCTCTCCTCAATTTTCACTATTTTCTTGTTGTACGATTCATCTATGGTGATCGTGATTTTTCAATAAAATGAATATTTTGTCATCATACAATTAATAGAATAGTAATAGAATTTATTAATTGACGATAAGAAAAGAAATTATCGTCGATTTCGAAAAAGAGTTACAATTAATTTTTAATAAAATATACAACGTTACGAAAGACGTTGAAAAAGACACGTCATAGGCCGTGTAAATGAGCTATTATATAATTCACTGTTTAGCACACAATTTTCAGCACGCTTTAACGAAATCGATCGGAGTCAGGGGAAATACAATCTGCGTGGCTCTGCAATAACGTCAAATTAACATGCTAATGGAATCCTCTGCTCGAGGAAGCATTCGCTTTCATCGTTCACGCTTCTTGCAACTTTTTATGATTCTATTTAATGCAATTAATCAATTCGCATAACACACGCTACGACATTCGAAAGGAAACACGACGTGCAAACGCCGACGAAAATAATGATGGGACGAGTTAGCATTGTTAATATTTTTTTCAAATATAATTTCTCTTATCGTTTAATTCTTATCCGCAGGATACAAGAGTCAGATGGAGGTTTCTTCGAGAATCTTGGAACGTTGTTGGCGGAGAGAGTTCGAGCACAGGTGCAAGCGGAAGGGCCGCTTCCAAAGAAGAAGGACGAGGTCCAGGAAGAGGATGAGGAGGAGGAGGACGAAGTGAGCGAGGAAGGCAGTATGGAGGAGCCTGTCGAGGCACTGTTGGAGACTGACAGTGACAGGGATGAGAATGAGCATGCTACGATTTTCTTGGCCGAATCTATGGGATGGAACGTAAGTTTTGCGCAATTCTTATTTTTAAAATCTAGATATTGAATGTATAACTTTAATCACTGGCACATTTTTATCAGATTTTCAGGAAAATCTGTATTAAAATTCTTTTTATACTATTTTTATTTAAAAAAGGCTTTAATATTTTATTTTATATCGATTAAGAAAGTTTTTGATTAGTAATCGATATAATAAAATTGAAGAAGCATTTCTTTCTCTCTTGATTCCAATTAATGGATTATTAAAATGCTTGATGTTTCTTCTTTGAAAATTTTCTTTCTCTCTTTCTGATTTCAATTAATGGATTATTAAAATGCTTGATGTTTCTTCTTTGAAAAATTTTTTTGAAAACCTCTTATTTATTTCTTCTTTATGAAACATTCGTAACCACAACACGTAAAATATCTATCTTCTTCTTTTACTGAATTTTTTTTTCTTTTTTTCATATCCACGTGATGAACGTTAAGAGTCTATGGCCTCTAAAATTTCGAGAGTTTCTTTTTCTGGACTCGTAGAATTTCGAGCATCATCGAATAACCACGAATGGATCTTTACGCGTCATCGAATCGCTTAAAATACATTGATAAATCTATCCACGTCAAAATGATAAAGGGTGATCTGTTCAATATTTGCACGAATACTTGTTTTACGTAACGCTCTGTAAAAAGATTATGGAAAACAGATGGGGGAAAGAAACGTGGGAAACTATCTTGAAAGAATGATCAAACACACTGAAACATTGTAAAGAGTATTCCAATTTAAACATGTCCATATTATTATAATGTTTGATAAAGAACTATCTGTTGAGAAATGAATTTCATTTTCACAGAGGCGGGGGATAGAACTTTTGCGCAAATTTCTCTTTGAAGAATCTTTTTTAGATTTAATTGAATTTCTTCCCTCGCGATTCTTTCTTTTAATTTTGATCCTCCTTTGATATTTCGATCAATATTTCGAATTACACATCACACACATTCTATAACCATACTCGAACCATCCTCGTTCCATTTTTTATTTATTCCAATATATTTGATCGAATCACGCCAGTATATCCTATACAGCGTTACAGTGGCAACAAGACGGATATTGATTCCGTCCAAAGGTTCCAGTTCAAGTTTAGTTACGTGCCCTGGCACACGCGTTTTCCAGCAACGAAAACGTGGTAACGTTTTTAGGGTAAAAATTAACACAACGCACTCTCGATCACCGTGTTGAGAATAATGCGAACGAGGATATATAATTGGCCGTTCTCCCTTCAACTCGAGGAGAAATATGTAAGTAGAACAATTAATCGAACAATATTCCTATGGACAATGTTTAAGATTTTCTTTTTTCTATTTTTGTAAAGTAAATGCATTGGATAGGATTTTTATTTTAGAATATATTTATTATATTTAGAATATTTCTCTAGAAATGATATTATAGACATCTTTCATTCATGAAAGAATGATAGATTGTCTTTGATTAAAGATTTATAAAGAAACTTTTCACTTGTTTCTTAATTAATCTTTCAAACTTGATTAGTGGAAATCATATTATTTCTTAATATATTTCAAAAGATTTATATATTTCAAGATTATATATTTATATATTTATATATAATATATTATACTTATTATATATAATATATTATACTTATTATATATAATATATTATACTATATAATATATTTATACTTATATATTTCAAAGATTTCGGAAAATATTTTACTCAGATAATTCCTCAAACAGATATTCTCTCTAAATTCTCTCGCATTTCCTTATCCAATTTTTCCAACTTTTTCTTAATCCTCCATCCAACACATTCTACGATACACGCCTGTTCTATAAAAAAAAACCATTGTCACCGAAAATTCACTCCAAATCATTTCATCTCCCTACGAAATCACGCAAAACAAAGTAGAAAAGTTGATTCACCACGAATGCATGGTTCAATTATGTCACCGATACAGAGCAACAGCGGCACAAGTCGCGGGGTTTTTGTCCTCTAAGCTCAATAAGCAGTTAAGTCCAATTTGAAACGCGACTCTGGTTTCGTAGCGTAGCCAGCGTGTGACGCTAGTTGAATCGTCGACATCGACGACGACGACGACGACTCCGATCTGTCGGTCCATCTATTCCTGGCAGTGCGCTACACGCCTTCGTCAGCTTCCTATCTATCTATCCATCCGTCCGTCCACCTACCATCCTCGTCCTGCCCGCGATACTTCCTCCTCGATTAATAATTCGATCCCAGAGATCCTTTAGCTTCCTCGAAATTTTAAAAATTCGATAAAATACTCCTCGATTCTTTCTCTTCTCTCTTGGCGCGAGGGAACAAGCGTGTGAAGTGGAAACTTTGAATCAGTGATCAGTGCGTTTGAATAGAAATAGTTTGAAAAATGAATTTCCCCTCCCTCTTCCATTTTTTTTTATTCTCTGTTGAATCAGAATTTTAATTCGGACGGAAATTTGAAACGAGGCGAGACAACGTTTACGTTTTAATTACGTTCGATTTGAGGAGTATCGAGAGAGTGGAGAGTCGCAAGATGGTGCTTGCCAGGTAAACGGAAACGGAGGGATTCGAGGTACGTAAGGTTGATGGAGTATAGTGGAGGTGTGGTGATCGTGGTTTCCGCTCGAGAGGATAAACTGGTATTGTGCAGGTAATTGGTTCAAGGGGGGGGGGGTCTTATTTGTTGACGATTAAAAGGCGTAAAAGCTGAAGTCGGGAAGTCGGCGCAGTCGTAAAAATAAATCGAACGTAAGACGGATAACTCGGTTGGGCAATCGTATTCTATGTATTCGAGAATTGGCGAACTGTCAGCGGCATAATTTTGTTCTGCAAGAAAAAAAAATTCTCGTGGGGAAAAGTGGATCGCAAATATATGAACGTCGAGAGGTAAAGATACGAGAAGTGTTCGAAATTTGAGAAAAGTTGTTTTCAAAAGTGAATAAAGTGGCTTTGAATTTTTTTTTAGCAAGTTTAGATAAACATCATAAATCTTTGCGTTATAATTAGAAGATTATTTTCGGTAAATCTCGAGAAAAGACGGGATAATATTTGTATTTGTTGTGACTCATAATTTGAGTACTGAAAATTTCTGGATCGGTATAGCAGTGGGAGATTAAGCAAAAAATCCAATGATTGTGAAACAAATCCTCTCTCAAGATCATAAATTTCACAGATTGTGTGTCAAACTGAACTTAACATAGCTTCTTTCACTCGAACAAATATATTTTATTGATGTATAAATATACAATAGATTTCTCAAAATATCCCAAAGTCAAAATTCATTTCAAATTATCACTTTCTTAAAATTTATTATCAGTACAAAAAATATCTAAAATTATTTCTTCTAGAAAAAAATCCCATCATTTCGTGAGATTAATCTCTTAAAAAATTCACTATCCCGAATCAATTATCACCTATCTATTTCTCAAAATACTCACTCTGCTCCAACATTTCTTGAAAATGTTTAAAAAATCCTCTCCACATTCGTTTTCCAAATTGATTAACCGGTTCCCTTCCTGATAGAATAAATCCGCGAAGGAATGGGGCGAATTCAGAGACTATAAAAATAGAGAAGGGAAAAATCGGAGCTGGCCACGAAGGACGAGAATATCGTTGTACGTGTATCTACGCGGTCAATGAGCTAATTGCCGTGGTATATCAATTTTCATTGGGCGCAATTGCACAAGTATACATAGCGGTTGCACTTGTATCGGCTCAAACAGGATACGGCATAGTTTCCCTTTGTGCAGATTCATTGTCTTGTTTTCGCGTTTTCCATTGGTCCCCTCGTTAACGGAGCGGCCAATGCGTGGCTGGATCCCCGATATTTAAATTGGCCGTGCCGTGTGCGGGGTGGAGAAATGGAAGAAGAAAGAAATGTGAGACCGTGCACGAATGTCGCCCGCGTACCTTTGTTCCGCTCGGGATTTAAATGAGGTTGAAAGGTTACCGGACGGGAAATGACGTTTCCTTTTCGTTTGCCACGATTCCATTATTTTCTGAATTTTTTTTTACATCGAATAAAAAATTTACTTCGTTGTTGGTATGAAGTGTCTGAATATTCCAGGAAAGGTTCGAATAGGTTTGGAGTTCGAAAGGGGGGTTGGAAGATCGACGAGAATTCGAATGATTGATAAACTTTGGAGAAATATTAATTCTGAAACAAAAAATTTTTTAAATTAGTTTCGAATGTAGAGAATTTAAAATATTCGAGACCCAGAGGTTTATATTCTGAAACGAATGCACACAATTAATTTATTTTGAAATCTAAAATTATCGATAAGGTATGCACTTGTTTCAAAAAAAAAGAGAAAAAAAATCGACCGTGATAGTCGGTAATCTTCTAAAACAAATATTTTCCTCTTCTGAGGCTCTATCGAGCCAATAGGGCCAATGTTAACCGAACCACGAAACGTACAAATAAATGAAATCTCATTGTCAGAGTCAATTGCTCTTGGCAACCATTAATGCACGACGATGTTAAAGGCTATGTCCCAGTTTCCCTATTTTCCCCTTCATCGAAACTAATTTTCTTTACTTCTTGGATCGTGTCCGATCAATTTGAACGGAATGAAACTTCATTTCTTTTGAACAATTTTGAGAACAATTTTTTCTTACAGTTAGAAAACAACTATTTCGGTCGAACATCGTCGCGTTCTCGACGTTCTTTTTGAGAGGTCGAGATTGGAGGAACGCGCTAAAAAAAGAGCAACCTTAGAGATTTGTCTGGTGCACGATGAAAAGGACGAATGCTTTACGTCTGTTGATTACGCAATGGAAAATTTGGAAAAAATGGAATATAAATGGCGTATCGGAGTTAACTTCGAACTCGTTATATTTTTCATATCTGTTAAAAATTTAATACAGAATCAGTTTGGAACTTTTAATATCGAATCGTTGAAATACATTTATAGAAATAAATTAGTCTGCGAATTGTTAAATATGAAGTAATTCTGAAAATATAGGATAGCTTATTTAGATTAAGGATAAAATTAAATGTCTTGTCCCAATTTGTTGGAAAAAAATCTCGTAAAAAGTTTCCTGAAAATTTACAAGAGTTTGAGAATATTTGTGAATCGATATCATTTCTAGTTTTTTCGATCTATTTTTCTAATTCCAAACTATTTTTCTGACACGAAAGTATAACATAATTACTCAATTAACGAAACGAATTTAAATATTCGAATTAGGTCAGTGTCGTGAGAATATTTCAACACTCGAAGTAACGAAATAAATTTTTGCCTGAACTGTATATCGCAGATAACGCTAACAGTTTAATCTCAAACTCTATTTCAAAACCAGACATAGATGCATACACTTAATCTTCAAAGGCCCAACATTATTTTTTTTCACTTCGTATCTTCTCTGGTATTTATTAATATTTGCAAAATCTCTAAAGGCGAAAAGTCGTGTTGATATTCGAATTATCTATGCTTTCATGTTAAACTGTTCTCAATTTCATCAAATATATATATATCGACAAATAAAACACTCAAAATGCACAAGTTTTTCAATATTTTGACAAATTTTTTCAAAATTTCATATAAATTTTCCTACTTAAATCCACGACTTTTAATTCCTCTAAATATCTTTTAATAAATTATTCAAAGATCAAATTGATCGGCTTCACATGATAAAAAATTCTCAAAGTTTTATCATCAAAGTATAATTTCTCAGAAATGGAATGATTAGCCTCAATAAAACTGATCATTAATCATCTAAGTGAATACATCTAAAAGGACATATTTATTACAATATTGCCTCTTACATTTATAACGTTGCATTTTATATCCCTTGGTTTATCTAGATGCTCTTTTTCGATTATGCACAGTCAAATAAATATGCGGAGCTCTGATAACAAAGGTCGCGGCCATCGAAGTTCATCATTGGCTGACAATACTACAGTACACGATTCTTCGCTTTTAGACCAGTTCGATACTCGTCGCGTGTGCAACACCTCGAAACATAGCTCAATTCCTATTCGACCGTTTGATCAAACATTCTCAAACTCCATATGAACATATTCCATATCAATTTCAATATATCAAAAATTCTTCCATTTCTCCGTATAATATTATATCAAACCTCCCCTCTTAATCAGAAATTTAACTAAAAAAAAAAAAAAAATATCCTCATAATTCATTTTCGATCGAAAAAATTCAATTAAAAATAATTTTTCAACCGCTTTTTATAATCGCTTCTCAATCAATTCCCAAGACGTTCGAAACAATCGTCGCTTTTATTATAATTCGAAGATGAAAGTGTTTCTAGATCGTCGCTGACAGTTTCTTTCGAAATCGGTGTTTCGAAATCGTTTAGGTGGAAACGTTGATCATCGTTGTCGTCGCGATGAATGAAAAATTTTCATCGAACGGATGGCGAGGAGAAGGATGGAACAAATCTGTATTTGTGGACGTTGAATGTGCCGCGAAAGTGTAACATGCGATCGACACAACGTGTCGTCCACAGTTTGTTTCTCTGTAGTGATATGACGGAAAAAATGAAGTTGAACGAAACGAGAGTGTAGTGAAATGAAAATGGTGAGCACCAATCCATCCTTAGGGGTGGTCACTCTGAACAGAGAAAGGAACACTTTTCGCGGTGTGCCCAAGGCTGAAATCGAGCGCAGAACGAACACGCTTCTCCAGGCTATGACGGTGAGTCGATTTGGAAAATATGACGTTGAAAATGATTGAAAATCTGTGTAAATCAACGTATGATATTCAACGCAATCCTTTTTCTTTTTCGAATCATTGTGAGTTCGTTTGATTGTTATATCTATAGTGATTATTAATTCAATTTCGTCTTCTTTTCCATAAACATTGTTTATCTTAAATAAAATTTTTAAAGTAAATAATTTTGTAAATTTTAGTGCGCAAGATATAATTGATAATAAAAAAAATCGAAGTGTTTTAAACTCTGCGAATAGAGATCATAAAAAAGTGATGATTTAATTCTGCAAAGAGAAATATTAAACTTTGTAATTACTGAACACAAGAACAAAATGTTTCCACGTTCTGAACTTTATATTTATATAAAAAATTGTCGAGATAATGTAACGTTAAACTTATTCGCAATTCATTGTTCGAAATCTGAATTATTTGAAAGCAAGCGAGTAAACAAAATTATCCGAACAATATCTGTTCTGTTCACCAGCCAATCGTTTGATTAAGACATGCCTTAATGTATCCGACAAAAGAACTTTGAACCGTGTGTATCGTGGCGATTCTACAAACGTTACTTGCAGCTAAAATCTGCTCGCATACGTTTTATCAGAGTGTCTTGCGACTAGCAGATGCTTTATGTATGACGTAAACCTATTGCTCTTTGTTTATGAATAATTTAATTACCAATATTAGAGAGAGAAGGAAATGGAAGATTGTTTAAAAATGTCCAAGATTTATTTAAATAATAAAGAAATAATTTTTTTTTAGAATTTAATGAATGTTTCATTAATGAGAAGTTTGATAAAATATATACACCTTATCTCTTTTTATTTTTATTCGATTATATCATCGTTTGAATCATTTACATACATAAAACATAACGAAATTTAATCATTTAATTGAATGAAAGAAGAAACTTATATTTCTTTATTTTCAAATTTTTGTGATATATTTAAAGAAAATTCGATAAAAATGTGTCTTCCTTTATGGCCAATTCAGATTATTTATAGTTATAAAAAAATAAGTTAATTTACTACCCATAGATCGAAGAACTCTATGCTGCCCTAGTTTTTATGACCCAGCATCAAATAGGCTACGACGTATCCAACGAGTGCAAACTGGAGACTCTCTTGAACCATCTTCAAAATGCGTTCAAAGTCGACAATGATGTGCACGAGAGAGTTCTGGACGAGACTAGAAACATGGAGGTGAGACTAGAAAATATCCAAAAAGAGTTTTCGACGTTTCTATTTAAATTAAAATTAATGCAACGCGATTTAAATAGCCACCGGAAATGCACTTGTGCGTCGAAGTGATCGAAGCCAAAGAACTCGTGTCCAAAGACGCCAATGGCAAAAGCGACCCTTTCTGCGCCCTTTACTTAGAATCAGCTCCCACGAGGAGGTACAACACTGCCGTAAAAACGTCCACCCTCAGCCCTGTTTGGGAGGAACACTTCGAACTGTGAGTTGAAACCATCCAAATTAAAAATATATAAATATATATATATATTTATATATATAATAAATATTTATATATTTACTATTTATTTTTTAATATATTTATATATATTTAAATAATTATATATATATATATATATATATATATAATATAATTATTTATTAATATATAAATATTTATATAAATTAAAAAATACCAAAATTTTTATCATAATTTTTAAATTATTTATCATTTTTTCAACATTTATTGATTATTTATAAAATTTAAATTTATATACTTATATTTATACTAATTTTATACATTTTATAATTATTTAAATGAATAATAAACTACTATTATAAATAAATTTTATTAATCATTGAAAAATTTGAATCAATTATTTTTATCGATAGATAAAAATAATTTCAATTATTTTTCTAGTCCCCTGGAGGATCCAGAGAATGATGTACTATTTCTAGAAGTGTGGTAAGTTGAAAATGAAGATGTATTACTTGATGATGATGATGATGCCAATTTTTAGATAAGGTGAAATATATGTATATATTATTTAATTTAAGGGATTTTGACGCTGCTGAAACAGTTCCTGAAAAAATGAGTAAAGTGAAAGACGTAAAGGGTGTTAGGGGGTTGGTGAAATTAGCGAAGGAGATTGCGGTCACAGCCACGACTGGCAGCCACGATAACGAATTCATCGGTCGCTGTAGAATACCTCTTAAAGTAAATGGATAAAGACGATCTATTACATTTTTATCTAGCTTTCCTTCATCCTTATATCCTAAATTTTAACAGTTGTAAAGACTATACAAACTTTTAAACATTCTCTGAATAAATTCTTTCTATTAAACCACGAATATTTAATCAATAAACTTTATATTTCTTTTTCTAAGACTTTCCTATGAGAAAAGTTTCAAAAATTAAAAGTTATTAAGAAAATTTAAAAAAAGAAGAGATTTCAATCAATATTCCCATTAATTTTAATTTTCATTTTACAGGATATACCGACGACAGGCCACACAATGTGGTATTCCCTCGAGAAGAAGAACAAACCAAAGAGACGGGGTGTGGTGAAACTGAGGTTGGCCTTCAGTGCGGAGCACAATGCATTGGTGGCCGCCCAAGAGCACAGACACCTGATCAGAGTGCTATTGTTGTACGAATTAGAGACGGAGAAAATAGAGAAATACTGTTGGAGTGGGCGATGGTCGGCACCCGCGGAAGTTCTTCTTCTTCAGCACAGCGCGCAACGCGGTTTGCTGGCTAGAAACGTGACGCTTGCTCAATGGATAGAATACGCGAGGATTCATCAGGAGCATCCCCTCAACTTCACCGTGTTCAATAAATTGGTGGTCGATCTGTTGAGGCCTATGGAGAACGGTCTCTTCTCCCCAGATGAAACCAGATTGTTTTGGGACGCTACGAAAAAATTGTTGTACTCTTGTCTTAACAGTATTCGCAAGATCAGGAGATTCACGGTTGGCGATAAGAATGCTATGGCACAATTGTCCGCCATTTTGGGGTAATTATCGTTGAAGCGTGTGAATTTTGAATTTCGAATTCCTGTCTTGATTAATTGGAATTAAGAAAGAAATATTTAGAAAGTGTTTTAAAATTTTTTCAAAAAGTTTTATATGCTTTGATTGAATTTGATTTATTTGTAACAAGGATGGTAACAACTTCAATTCTTTTCGATATTTTAAAATATGAGAAAGAATTTCGAAAATGCTCGAAAAGAATTTGAATGGAAATTTTTATATGCTATATAGAATACTTTCATCCCTTTCATCCCTTAAAGTTCCCGAGGACGTGAATCTGTTTCCTGGAAAGATGTACCCTTGGTTCCCACACTCTGATGAGAAATTAAGTATCGTTCAAGCTTTGGATTACACGGTTGAACAGGGTGGTATTGAATGGTAGATATCTTTTAAATATGAACGAAACTTCTTAAATTAATTAAACAGAGAGAAATAAATATTACGTTATTTTAGGTTCGATCACATATTGAATAATAATTATCCAGAAAGCGAATCGGACGAAGATTCGTTAAAGTATCATATCAAAGTGATTCAACTGGTCAGAGCAGATTTACAAAATGCTATCGATAATTACGATAAATTGTTTATCAAGTAAGTTTAACGAATCTTTTTAATTTTTTAAAAAATTATCCAACACTGCTCAAAATTAATTTTAATTTTATAATTTCAGACGAATCAATTTCCCCTACGCTAGATGTTTGTACGTGATGTACGAAAAGAGGGTCAGCGGCTTGTGCAGGATTATCGTACAAGATGTTTGTAGTAGAATGAAGAGGATCGAACTTGAAAACACTGATGTCGAATTGAATTTGGGAACGACATTGTTCGAATTGTATCTCACGTTGCAGAGATTCGCTATGTAAGTGTATTAACATATATTAATCATTAAAGAAAGGAATGAAGCAATCGAATAGAATAAAATGAAATAATGGCACGAATAAATGTAACAGACTTCCTGTCAAAAAATATCGAAACGCATAGATTTTTGAAAATTCTCACAGAAAGAAATTGATTACTCTTAGGCTTGGACAAGTGCTGTGCGCTGAAGGGCAGTTAGAAAGAATGGAAGTGCAAAATTATCACGATTGGTTCAGGGCTGGCGTGGCACACTGGCTCGACATAGCTGTGTACAAAGCTTTGAAACGAATTGATAGAGCCGTGGAATTCGACACCCTCCAAGCAGTTGATAACACCGTCCAATACAGCTCGAGTGCTGTGGACACGTTAACGATATTCTATCAAATCAAAGTTTTCTGGACGCAGCTTGCGTGGCCGGACATGGAGGGCTCCTACACTTTCGTAGCTAAAATTATTGATGTAAGTTCTGAATATATTTTTAACAATCGTGAAAACAATAAATAAATTTAAAACCAATTTGAATCTGAAAAAAGAAAAAGATTATACAATAACGTTTTCTTCTTCCACCTTAGTTCTTACAATTTTTCTTGTGAAGTATTTCTATGATAATTAAAGTTTATATATCTCTGACTGCTTGCCAGTCCAAACAACTTTGCAGAGTTTGTTGCAAAATTCTCAGTATTCATTGTTAATATTCTGTTTAAATTTTTCAGGACATCTGCAAATGTTCAATAGCGTATGCAGACAAGATGGCGAAGAAGGCAGAACTGACCACGGAATTGGAACAATTGTCGGAGGGCAGTGTATACGAGAAGAAATTTTACGTGTCGACAGCGTGGTGTTTCGCGATAAACAATATTGATTACATCAAAACATCGATCGGCCCATTGGCCCACGATCTAGGATTCCAGAGTATCGTGGACGCGTTCGCAGAGAAGAAAACCCAACAAGAGGCGGACAGGTGTCAACAGACGCTTCAATTGATCATTGACAACGCGACCGATACTGTTAAGAATAAAATTATAGAATTATTACAGGTTGTCGCCAATAAAATGTCACCTGCCATGAACAGGTAATTGTCCCACGATATTTTTATTCAATCATCCTCTTATTCGTTCATAAATAAATAAAATAGTTAGTAACGGTATTCTAAATTAATTTTCATAGATGAAAATTATAAAACTTATATATTTGAAATTAAAATTAAAAATTTTTGATTGAAGGTTTCTCATGGAGGGTGCAGAGTTGATAGACACCACCAGCAATTCCATGGATCGACTTTTACAATATTTAGACACGAATCTAACAACGTTGCACGACAATCTCAACGAAGACAATTTCGAGAGAATCTTGTTCGTTATTTGGGACATATTGTCAGAAAGTTTGTACCAATTAGTGCATAATAATTTGGAGGTACGTTATAGAAACGTATAATATTCTTTCACTCTCTGTTCGAGTAGTTCTTTTCCAATTTTTCCAAACAATTTCAATTGTCACAGAAAAGGAGACCACCATCGTTCTATTCGAACCTTCATCGCACACTGCACACCCTTATTCGATATTTTAATATCGGAGCTGACGAGGCAGCAAACGTTAAGGTGTTGGAGAAGATCGAGCATCTTTTGGAGCTTCATGGCCTCGAGACAGCCGAGTTGATACATCGTTACCACCAAGAGCGAATAAAAGAGCAAAATGACTTGGAAGAATCCGAATACGGGCAGATCACCGTGAAGGCGCAATTCGTGGATAACTCGTTGAATATTCAAATCTTGAACGCGAGGAAACTGCGACCTGTTGACAGTAATGGTAAGAAAAGGAAGATCGTGGAAATTTTTGTGTACGAAAAATATTTGGGTACGGAATTGTAACTTATTTAGAGGTATCTTATTGCTAGAAATGAAATTTTAGGTTATAGATAGTTCTTTTTTTATTTCGATCTTTGTTGCGAGTGATTCAGATGAAACGAAGGATGTGCAATTACTTTTTTTTGACGATTTACGAATAATTAGAAAATTTCTCAATTTTTTTTCCATTTCATATCAAGTTGATGTAACGAATAATCGCATTATCCGACGAGAGAATCACTCGGATTATTGTATTTTTTTAATGATTAGAAAGAGAATCGAAATTGCACACAACGCCAATTGCATAATTAAAGCGAAAGTTTCATTTCGTAGCTTGTTAATTTGTTGTTTCGTTTGCTTGTCGAAGGGTATTAGGGGTTGGTCTCGCGATAAGAAGAATGATATTTTATTTCGATTTTGTAGGCGATTTGGTAGGCAAGGTGTCTACTCTCAAACGCAAGCTTCATACAAAATCTAAACAAAGACAGAAAGAATGGAAGACAAGTATGTAAATGTGGATGTAAAACAAAACAAAAAAAAAAAAAAAGACGCTCTTCCTCATCACTCTTTCAATTAGAACATGTCTCATCCGGTTGCTTGCCCTCGTGACAATTAAAATTATCAAATTTGCATGCGAATTTAGCCGACCAAATTGTCGAATTATTTTTGTTTTCTGTTATTGTGTATTATTCGTAGTTAGAGAATGTAAGAATATCTTAGAACGTCAAACAATTTTCCTCACTTATGATGGAATGATGCAAATCTCTATAAGGTTCCAAATTATAACATGAAAATTGATTTTCAATTTTTCCAAAAAAGGGATAAATTTCTTCGAAGTTAAATTATTTTTCAATAATTTCTTCTTTTGTGAAATGATATTCTTTTAATACTCGATAAAATTAAAAATATAAAGAAAACATTCGATAAAATTTTCGATAGAATATTAAATTTAAAATCTGTAAGGTACTTACGATCCCTCTTGAATCTTCACAGAATTCGTGAATTAATAAATTCAATATCGTTGTAAAATATGATTTTTTAAATGCAATTATTATGGAATGTTACATTGGAAAATGTGGAACCTCATAGATAAAGAATCAAAAAAGATAGTCACCTTCATCGTGCATGAACCCACATTGGGGTGTTATTGGTACTCGAAGAGATCGCAATGGAAATATTTTTCCTTCTATTTTTCCAGGTAGTTGCGATTCGTACGTGAAAGTGAGACTTCTTCCGGAGGAAAAATTCACCGACGTGAAATTACCTAAAACTCATGTGCAAAAGGAGAATTTGTACCCCCTGTACGATGAAATTTTCAACATGTAAGTAATAATCCAATCTTTCTTCAATTATCCAGAATATAGATAAAAACTTATACGAAATGTAAAAGAAAATATCTACAATTATATCTAAATTGTATAACTTTATATTATTTTTTTTAGTCCTCTGACCAGCGAGCAAAGAGCTACAGAAAACGCGATCGTAGCGTTCGAACTGAAAGACAAGGACTTTCTAAGATCGAGATTCATGGCGGAAGCTTTCCTTCCGTTCAGTGAAATTCCTGAAACGGGACCAGATCGAGGGATCGAGTCTCTCGAACAAATTCATTTGAAACTTTCGCGTCCTATAAGGAAAAGTAAGTTTTATATTTTTATTTGTGTATTTCTATACTATTTCTTTTAATTTTTTTTTTTTTTTTATTCATTGTAACGATTTTATGCGCAGGTACAGAGGTAATCCAAGCGTTAGAACACAGAAAGGGGGACAATCAAGCGACAGAGTTCTTATCGAAACTCAGCTCTAAGGCTGAACGAAAATGATCGTTATCATTCGTGAAAAAAGCGACTGAAATTGTTCGTTACGTTATGCAATACAATTCGTGAGCAACGAATCATTATGAATTTTCAAAATAATCAAATAATTAAAATGAATCCTTCGCGCGATTTTCAATACGATACGTAATTAGTTTTCGTAAGTCATTAAATTGTTGTTTAATTAATTAATCATCAGCGCTCACTAAAATATCATCAAAGCTATACTAAAATATTATTTGGGTAAAGTTACTCAAAAATGTTTTTACATTAATAATTTATAAATTATACGATACGTAATACGTAATCTTTTTGTTAATACTTGAAAAATCGAAATGCTGTTCAATTTCCCACGTTAAATAAACAAGCTTGCCTAACGAAAATAATGCAAGAAAAGCATCGTCGAATAATAGACTATTTTTATAAAGTTTTTACAAATTACTTTCAAGACTAAATCCTATTTCTAAACTGTGTACGCTTCGAGTATCTAATATCAAGTATATTTTTTTTGAATGAAAGGCAAAACATCGCATTTCAAAACTAGAAAAAACTTTAAGGCTGAGTAAGTACTATTTACAAACAATATGCGAATTTAATTATTATATATCGATACACATACACACATCGTTGCAATAAATGCTGAAGAAAGAAATGAATTGAAGGATTCATATAAAAACTAGCCTAATAATTATTAAAAAAAAAAAAGAGAGAGAGAGAAAGAAATATATTTAAAAAACATTAATCAATTATTTAAGGTAGATCTATAATTAAACAAAAATTGTTTTTATAATGAATCCTTCATATTTTAAATAAAAAGCTTCTAATAAGAAAAATCAAAATAAATTTTGTAATATATGTGTATATAGAAACTCAGCTATGCATATGAGATGTATACGTTTTTTGTATGTGAAAGAGTATATTTTATCTAGTGTTATTGCATTATTGTTGAATCATTTAATTCTAAATAAAATCGTCGAGAAATCTGTTATCGAAGATCCTGAAGACTACTTTATCTATTGAATATTTTTTCACGATATTAATATATCATAAAATTTTGCAAAATATTGGATAAAATAATTTAAAAGAAAAAAAATATAAAAAAAATATTTCATTTATAAAGAATAATCAATAGACTGCGAATTTTTATGCAACATATTCTTCATAGAGAAGAATATTACAATATTGAAGAATACAATAATTTGTTATCGTTGGATTGCATAAAAATCCCATAATCTAATAATCATCTAATTTCAAATATTTGTAAATATTTGTACTTGAAGAAATTCAAGATTATAAAATGAATGATGAATAAATTATTAAAAGATATTAATAGAAGCGTTGTCTTATTTTATCGAAAATTCCATTTAAATGCAAAAAATTGAAACGCAAAAAAAGAAATTTATGCGTAGTTCTTGGTATCTCTTTTCGAAGAAAAATCTTTCAAAAATAACATAATTATAATAAAATAAATTTAATATAATAATTTTAGTCAAATATGATTTGAAAAATAATACCAAAATTTAAAAAATTTAATAAATGAACGATAAATTGAAAAAATTAACTAAATCTGAATAAATTAAAAAAAATTAATAAATAAATTAAAAATATTAATAAATAAAAAAATAAATGTATAAATCAGTAAAAAATAAATAAATATTAATAAAAAAATAAAATGAATAAATATGCAATATATAATAACAGTATTGAATGTTAATTATTTATATTTTAAAAATAAATTATTAAAAATTATAAAAAACACTTAAACTGATAGAATTTATTTGAAATATTACAGATACGATTTATTCGCAACGAAGCTTCGCCGGAGAATAAACTCTTTCTTCCCTTTTATTCTGTATTTATAAAAGGTCGGAGAAACGAAGTTCTACGAACGTATACGTTTCTTACCGATGTTTCAAAATTGATTTTTCGAATATAATAAATCAAAAATTTATCATTTCTTGGACTTATATTATTAATTTATATATTTAACAATTTATTATGATAATAAATATTGCAATTGATATATATTTTTATACACTAAAATTAGATTTATTGTTTTATGGTATTAATTTTCGAGTTACTACCGTGTTAAAATGTTTTAATTGTATTTACATTCAAAGAATTTTTATAATTTTTTTTAGAATTTTAAAAAATTTTTTAATTTATATTCTTAACGCATGTACTTAATAATTTATTATAATAGTAAACTATAATAATTTGTTGCAATATTGCAAATAGTAAATATAACAATTGATATATATTTTTATAAATTAAAATTAGATTTACTATTTTATATTATTTCATAATTCTCTATTTATATTTGTGTAAAATATTTTACGCGAAAAACATTCAAAAAATAGCCACAAATGAACTTATAACGATATATTTTAACGATTTTTAGATTTTTAAATTTTAATTCATATATGTAATTTTTTTTTACAAAATAATAAAAATTTAATAATTAATACACAATTTTTGCCCATAACTTTTATATTATATTTCGAGATATTATAAAAATAAAATAATAATTTTAATAATTTTATACTTAATAATGTCTAATAATTTTGATTTATTTCTTATACATATATTTAAAAAATATATTTAAAAATCACAGAACATGCAACTTATTGTTCGTAGATAATATACTGGAGCAATAATATTTTTTCTATGCAATTTCCAATTTCCCATCTGTTAATAATAACGAAGTATATCGATAAATGGCAAATAACACCCATGAAATTATCATAATTGTGAATTAACATATTTTAAACATTCGTGAATAAAAAATGTATATTTTAAATTCGAAGTTCACACAAATTGTAAACTACAAAATTAAACGCAACATTTAAAAAGTTCAACAAATAAAATGGTACTAACTTACGACTACTTTTCCCCATCTGGTAACTGCAGTTCAGGCTCATAGATGTCGATACTGGTAAAGTTAGCTATCTGTATATTTTTTGAATAAATATTTTAAAATATGAAATACTTAAATATCATAATTTCCCAATATTTTATTAATACCATTATTTTTAATTTGTTTTAAATTTTATTACATATTTTGTATCTAATAGAAAATAGTACAAATTTTAATTTAACATATAATTTTTTTTGATTAGTGAAATTTGTTAAATGAATAATTACAATATATTTTTATTTATTTAAAATCCACAACATATTACGAATTTTTACGAAAATATAAAACGATATTATCTATTTTAAATGATATAAGAATACGATAATCGATAATTTTAAATTTCTATTCTTAATTTTGACTTCTAACGATTTATTAAAATAATAAACGTATATATAATGTGTATAATTTTCAATTTTTTTGTAACTTGTTCACTATTTTCATTTATTCATTTACTATTTTCATATACAACTCAATGTGAAATATCTTTACATTATCTACATACCAATATTAATATATATAAATTGATATATTATCGCAAATGAATTAAGTTTCAAATGATAGTTTAAATCATGATCACACTATTATTTCATTTTTTTCTTTAAACAAACATTGAATGTTTTATCTTACCACTTCACGATCACGTTACCGGTATTGTTGGCGGAAATAGGTTACTGAATCATCATCGAGAACTGAAAGAGGGAGTTGAAATATCAAAAACGAACTTTGTTCGAGATTATACCTTTTTTTTTAAATTAATCTTCATGTTATCTCGTATAGATACAATTTTTCTTTAAAACACAATAGCAATATATATAATGAATCACAAGACCGTTTGTGTATCAAAATAACAAATATTAAATAATTTAAATAAATAGTTATTTTATCCAGAATTTTCAATCAATCCTTTTACAACTTATCATACGTTCACAATATCGTTTCTCTAACAATTCTCTAATAATCTGTTGTTATTTTCCCCTCCCCTTCCCCTCCCCCAAAAAGAAGCACGTTTAAAATTTCATATTGCATGGCATACACAACACGGATTATTTAATAGATTCCGTTTCGCAACATGTTATCTCGTTATCATGGCCCTTTGAGCCCCGATGATTCAATGGCGTGCAGAAAATCATCTATTCAATGCTTCTACAAGTGCACGCGATCTAATTTCACAATTTCATATTATATAGCTCCATATTAATCTTTCCCTTCCCTCCTCGATAAATCATAGGAGAGAAGAACGAGAGAAGAAAAGTCTAAAGGCTTGTCTCTAAATTATATTGTAAATACATGCAACAATTAATACCATATTCGGTACGTACACGTCGATACGATAATTTACAAGGATCGAGGACACGATAATAATGGAAGCAAAATAAGGTCTCTCTTTCTCTCCCTCTCTCTTTGGCGTATTAATTAAAATACGCAAACAAAGGTTTCTCTTAACGATCTTAACGGTCGATGGCATAGACACCGCGTGTTGTTACCGCGACGCCGTAATTGGGTATAATGAAATCTATGGGATCGTTTTAGACAAAGATCGAAGAAAAAAAAGAAAAAAGCTGTTTAAAATTCAAATGAATGCGGCCAGCCAATGCGAATAGCGCAATAATCGAGCCGCTCGCTTCGCGATCGAGTTTTCGGAAGTTTTATGCGCGAAGCAACGATGGCTTTTCGGCTTTTAATCCCCTTACAATTGATTTCATATTACTCTGATTGAGTTTGCCCCATTCCATGGTTACGTTGCGAAAGGAGAGCCCCCTTCAAAAGTTGCGAAATTGAATGTCATTCGATTTTATGATCGGGCAAATTGTGCGTAAAACGCGATTTTTCTATGAAAAAAAAAAAAAAAAAGAAAAAAAAGGTTCGCGTAATTAAGTGGGCATATACATGGGACATAAATTGAACAGTGAACGTTGAAAATGACACGAAATGAAATTGAATAGCGTTTCGTAAACGGGAGAATAAAAGATTTCTCCACTCTAGTATTAACTCTAGTATTAATTTTTGCATATATCAACGATAAGATAGTTACGAAAAAAGAAAGACTTTTTTCGAATTTCGTTACAAATTTCGCCTAGGATTTGATATTCGAGTGAGATATTTTAAACGGTGGAGACGTTGATTGAAAAATTTAAAAGGATACTGTATAAATTATGTTCACAAGTTAATTTAATAAACTGTTAGACATCGAGCAACCTACAATTCAAGTTACAGCTTGAAGCTAAATAAATAAAATAGAAATAAAATCAGGAGCAAGGATATATGAAATAAAAGGGAGAGCGCGTTGTTGTGCAAGGGACGAGCCGCTTTATATATTTCGTTATTAATAAATCAAGACGAGGCTCCTCGCCACGTTAACTTTCCGCCCCCGTGCATGACTCCACGATGCACCGGATTTACTTTCTTCTCTCGATGTTTATTAAAATTTTCGGTACACCGCCGGAGACGGAGGGCCTTTTTGTCATGCATAACCTCGCTCGTTGCTCAAAGGGAAGCTTCTAAAAACGAAGATCGTGTACCCGTGCAAAAAAAAGGAGGGAGGGAGGGAGGAGCAGGAGGAGGAGGAGGAGGAGGAGGAAGAGAAAAAGAAGCGAGGGAAAAGGAAGAGAAAGAAAAAGAAGAAAAAAAAAAAAGAAGGAAGAAGAGAGAACGGATTGCCACTTTAGAAGCCGCCTATAACGGGATGAGAAGTTTCGATCGAAGGAGAGAGTGTCCTTAAACGAAACTTTTCGGTTGCCCGAGATAACGTGGGATTATTACCGCGGAACTCTTTCGACGCAGAGAAGGATCGAGA